ATTTTATACACATTTTGTTTTTTTAGTTTTTTGTCCAAAAAAAAAAAAAAAAATCAGAGTGAACCGTTTCCAGCCACCGAAGAAAGCGGTGCTTCACGAGCTGCTCCATCTCACCCCCACTCTGTGCCTCCCTCGGTAGCAGCACCCGTGTCCCTCCCGCCCAGCTGCTCCCCCCTTCGCTTCTCACAGTCCGTTACGCCGAGAACCCCTCCTCTGGTTGGGGACATCAGCGTAGTTTGTGAGGTAAGGTGAAGTTGTCTCGTACCTGCTGCTTCCACTCTGGGCTGATTCTCTTGCAGTAGGTCCAGACCATGTTCTGCATACAGAGCTGTCGCAGGAGCTGGGATGCCTGAAGAAGAAATCACACAATGACTGAAAATAGCCCCAATTGCCTGACAAACCAGTTCAAACAGCGAAGACAGATGAGAAGCAACTGCACAAAATGCATTGCTGGACTAAAATACCGCTTCATTACTGAGAGTCGCTTCTAAAATTAAATAATAGGAAGTTTGTTTTCCACCTTTCTAAGAGTTCGCCCCACCACGTTCTCCAGCCGCTTTAGAATGGAGGACGACCACCAGGGCCCTCCCCTTCGCACCGCTCTGCCCTTCCTTGCTTCCAGCTGGCCCTGCACCCCAAACACGCAAGGGCCTGGGGAGAGGGGGACGGGGACTCGCTGCAATATTTTGCTTTGGTCAGATAAAACACAAATTCTGCCAGATGCAGAATAATAATGGCAATAGAGGAAGTTTAATATGTTCTTCACAGGCAACCGCATTGTCATTACAGCCAATTTAGCTGTCCCGAGGGAACTTCATTTGTTCAGAGAAAAAGGGAAGAAAATTTCAGAAACGGATGGGAAAACCAGTAGAAAATGGTGTCGCAACAGCACCACACGCTCAAGAGCTTGCAATACTATCGCTCTAATAATTTTACCGATATGCTGTAATCCCACCCATGCGATGACACGTGGATTAATTCTACTGGTAGCGATGCTAACGCAAAGTGGAAGGTGAGCGAGGAGCTGGCTCGCTCTTGCTCTGGTAGCAGCAGGGTCCCCTCAGGCCTTCGGTGGCCCGCGGTCGTCAATGCGGCCATTGGTCTCCTCCATCCCACGTCTCCTCCATCTGCCCCGGCGCAGTTGTGCCTACCTCACAGAGCGACGGCGGAGGAGTCGGCCAGGATTTGTCCAACACATTTTTTGGTAAATTACGCTTGAGGTTCATCAGGAAGGAGAAGCGGATGTAATCAAGGAAATATTCATTCTCTGGGCAGCGAGGGTGGTTCCGGTAAATAAAACCTTTAATGAACCTGAGGAAGAAGAAAATGTTATTAGAAAATTAGAAAAGTGATCAAAATTAGAGGTATTTAGAGGTGTCTTCCAACCAAACCCTTCTCTGGGATTTACTTAATAGTTTCAATTTATTAAAAAAATCACTGATGCTGTAGTGACAAGAAAGTTTATTCTTATCATCCTATTGTTAAGAAGTAAGTACCCAGTTGATGGCTTGGGTTATTCTTTACGCACCTTCTGATAGTCTCTACCGCCCACTTCTTCTTGGCAGCTTTTCGGCGTCCCAGCGTTCCCCGCCACCAGGACTGGATCACGATTGCTAAAAATAATACAAAGATTTTGCACTAAGTGAGCTCCTTCATACCAACATCGACTCCCTAACAAAGCTGGCAACAGCGAGTGCTCAAGAAAGCCCGCTGTGTAAGTAACCACCCGTCAATGTGCCATACGGGAAAGAATAGAATTTAAATTCTGAACAATACGATATCACGGTTAAATGTCAATAAAAAGCACGGGCAGATGGGAACCGCTGCATGGGGGCTGCTGGGTGAGCGCGAGGGAAGTCTGCTGCTCTTGCTCCGAGTCTCACAGACGGAAGGTGGAAGGACTGGGTACCCCACCAACATCTTCCATTCTGCTTCCAGCAAGGCCTGGGGAACGTTCCTTCTCGCACGTCCAACTCAAGTCCTCTCTGACACCAACGGCCCCTTCCAACCCACAATTACGCAGCACTGCAGTTTCCCCTCTCTCTGTCTCCTACCTGAGTGTTTCATGTGCAGGAATTTCTTTCGACGGTAGAAACCTCTCCATGTGGCCTGCATTTTTGTTGCTGAAATTGAAAGGAAAGCAGCAATTTGAAATTGTGACCGAGCAGATTTTGGTAGAAGAAGGGTCAACTTTTTAAAGAAAAATCCCCCCCCCCCAAAACAAACAGAAAAAAAGGCAAACAGAAAACAGAGAGCTAACTGTCCATGAAGCTACTGCAGCGTGTGACTCACCCAGACTCTGCTTCCTCACTTCCAGAGCATCTTCCGTTGCAAACAAGGTCTTGGGAAAGCGGATAAAAATCTTTGTTCTAGAAATAGAAATGCAGAATTATGTTTAACATGCCGAAGAAGTTTGCTTCCTGCCCATAGCATCCCCTTTGGGATCTCTAATCTTTTCCTCACCCATTAGATAAAGAAGCCTTATTTAAAAGCAATGACATGGACGTCCAGTGATTCATAATCTATTTAAGAAAACAGAAGAACTAACCGTCCCATTTTGTATTCTTCCTGCTTGTAGCCAAGATGCTTCACCAGCACAGCCACCCCGTCGTGGGGCCGGCCGTCCCATGTAGGCCACGTTTCTGGACAAAGCGACTTGTACCTGTAAATCGACAGCAGAAGAAATCTTAGGGAGAGAAGCCCAATCCGTACAGGGCAATGGAAAGGGAGGGAGGCCATGCTTCTCGCTCCCTCAAGAAAATAAGTCTTTCAGGTGTGAGGGCTGCCTCTCTGCTGTTCGGAACAGCTCCCCAGGCTCCGCATCTGCGGGAGCGAGACCAGGGGGAGGGAGCAGCAGGAGAGAGCAGGCCAGGGTAAGCCTACCTCTGCAGGAAAACTTCGTATTTTCTTCGATACGCAAACCCGGCTCTGCGCACTCTGAGGTTCTCCATCAATCCTAGGTATTTCACTTGATGTCGGATTAGAACTTCATCAAATCGATCTTGAGCGAGCATGAAAATAGAGAAACATGATCAATGTATAGCTGTCCCTTCAGCTGGAGGAGGGGAATGTTCCGTTCGTGGTCATATCTTACACAATTATCTTTAACCTCTAACCCATCCTCGCGGTGCGAGTCCCACACAAGTTACTTTGTGTCTCCTGTCCCCCCCACCTTTAATATACATTTAGTTCCAAAACAAAGTTCTCCTTTAGGATGTTCTATGCGTACAGGAGGAAGAAATGAGGGAGAATAAAGGTCATTAAAAGGAAGTTACGCAGGTTAATAATTCTTCACTTTAAACATGACCCTACTCCACCCCAGAGCAGTGCTCCCACTCCGATCCCTGGCTGCTGGCACTGCCCCCACCTCCCTGCAGGAAGCTCTGGCACAGACCCAAAATGAAAAAACCCTGCAGGACTCTGTCATTTGAGCGCCTTTCTGTGCCTCGCTACTGGGACCCAGCGGTCTCTACAGAGCTGCCGTAGAAAAGAGGAAGAGTCAGCAGGGTCGTACCAGCCTGTTTAGCATCGTTAGGTTTAATGCAACGAATGTAGGAGGGTTCTTTGGACATCAGAATTTCCATGAGTTTGGAGAGGCTGTTTTTAAACTGAGTTGCTGCCTACGAGAAAAGAAAGAAAACTATGTGTGAAGCAAGGACTTACAGCCAGCACGTGTGGCTGCAGAACGCACCTCAGCCTCCCCAGCTTTAAACGCAAGAGGCTTGCATGACCATGTTAGACAGGGCATGGCTTTTAAAAAGAGGAAACAGCCGCGCTTCCGTCCAGCTCTCGTGTTCTTACCGTTTCAGGTCTCTTTTTGTCTGTCAGCTCCGTCCTGTCAAAACACTGATTTATGATAGGATTCTCAGAGTTGCACATGGTCTGCAGAGAGAGACGTTTTCAGAGATAAAGTACAGAGTACTCTTCAGAGAACTATCAAAGAAACATGGGACAAAATTTGATTTTTTTTTTGTTTATTTTGCTTTTTCATAATTAAACGAACTTTGGGCACCTCATAGTGCAGCCCTATGAACACACATTCTCCAGGTGGAGTCTAGAAGAATCTTTTCCCTCAGGTGCCACCCCATTTTAAACCCGACTCCTCGTTCTGCTGAATACTGGAAACATCCTCTGTCCACACTCACCTCCTTCAGGTTCCGAAAGAGAAGGTCATTGTTTTTATCTAGAAAACCTGGAAGAAAAAGAAACCGCTCAGGCTGCCACCGCTGTTCCGCAGGAACTTCACAACAAGGCAGGAATTTGAGATGGGAAATTAATCTGGTTAATCAAATGATGTGTGGACGTATTCTATGCCCAGATTTTTCTTTACTATATAGCGAAGCTGTTTTAATTCAAAGGGCAGAGGACGGGAGGAGGAGAAAAGAGTGAGAGACAGCGGAGACGAGGCACACGCTTACCCGCAACGCTGTAGGTGACCTCTCCAGCATAGTGCAAAAGCCGAAACTCCTCCCGCCCCAGTGACTTGCGAGTCTTTTGGTCGGCGAGCTTGTGCCTGGTGAGAAAGTGAAAAAGCTTCATGAGAAACAAACATTTGTTTCATGGGGGGATTCGCTTCAAAAAGCACTACGGCATTTGATCCCAGAGTGGGACTACGGGAACACAGAAGGGGAGGAATAAATCTGACTTGCTAATTTTTAAGACTAAAAGTAAGTAAAGAGTTATCAACCAGCAAATCACAAAAATGTCATAAAACGTATTTATGTTTATTTCAAGTGGATGAACTTTCAGCTTCCTGGCAAGGTTGCAGAGTGGCTCTGTGTGCCCAGGAAATTGGAGCAGAGGCAGCAGGCAAGAGGGCAGGGGAGACGCTGGCAGCAGGCTGGCTTACTCGTGAGGTGCCGTACAGACCCTAATCTGAGCATAAGCAGAACATTCAGTAAGAACAGAAAGACATGCGGAGCTCCAAAACCGAAGTAAACAATCGGGAAGGTGAAACATGGAATTCAGAACTTGAACTGGAGTGGCGGCAGCACGGATAGGTTACCAAAGCCCGAGAGTATCCACATGGTCTGGGAAGCAGGTGGGCACGAAGGCGAGTTAGTGCAATACAAACCTCTCAATTTCAAAAGCACTAACACTGCTTAAATCATTCTAATGCACATACACCTCTGAACACTATTCTTACCAGTAAAATTCTGCTCCATGTTCTAGTTATTCCTAAGCCTGACTCGAGTCATCAACGCTGGGGGATGATCTGGCCTAATACTCCAAACCAGAAAGTCTGTCACACCTGAAGTACTGGGCTGGATCTTGGAAGAGCCAAGAAGCTGCAAGGCTGCAGACTCCTTGCACATATTAGCAGCAGGATGCCAGGAAGAGACTGGTGAAGAGGCAAGTCAGTCCCAAGAGTTTTGTTGCCCCTATTGTATTGTGAAGCCTAGTCTGGAGAAGAGCAAGGCAGTTTGTGTTGACAGCTTATTCTGTATTACCTTAACTCACAATCTAATCTCTTTGCAAAAGAAAACGCGATCATCTTTTATGTGGGACCCGGTATACCTAGGATGCTACTGCCGTACGCACAATGAGTTATAATGTCATCTAGGAATAACTAAAGCTCTGGGCTCTGTCGCATGCTTGGATCCTACCAGTACAACGGCCCTCATCTACGTGAACACTCACGTGAGAAAATGAGGGTGGTTCTTCACAGTTTCCTCCAGTTTCTCCAAGAACGTTGTATCTGTGGCATCCCCGGGTCTCAGACACTCTTCATCCTACAAACACACACATTCCGGTATTCGTGTCTTACTGTCCTCGTCAGCGCACCGGCCAGCTAATTCTCTGATTCTGTCTCACTGAAACACTGCCCCAGTTTGACGCCTTGGCCTTTTAACAGGCAGGCCAGCTCTTAGTTCAACAAACGAAGAATTGTTGAGCTGAAAAGGAAAACGCTTTCCTCCTTCCAGACTGCCTGGATTGGCAGCTTCTTTTCTGAGAGCAGACGGAGGCGATACAGTACGACTTTTAATGGTGTCACTGTTCAGTGTATCGTAGCTCTTCCCACCTGCCCAAATAATCCTGATATAAGCCGAGACCTTTTTTTCCTGCGTTCTTCCCCTTGTTTTCCACTACACTGCCCCAAATTTTTAATTTAAAAAGGTGTCGTCAACTCACCAGAATGGAAATGATGCCTTTGAATTTCTCTTCCACCAAATCACAAATTATTTTGTTATTGAAGTACTGAACTGGTTCCCACTACAAAGAGAAGAAATCACACTTGGGTGAAAACAATTCTAGACTGGAAAAAAACATGAACATTTCAGAACATTTCAGGCAGCACCTTACTTAAATAATCTTTCTGTCAAATTTGAAACAAAGCTTTTTCACTCATCAAATTTGTTTTCCTAACATTCCCTTTAAAAAGCTTTTTTTTTTAATCAGAGTAGAAGATTGGAATGGCATTACTGACTTCTAGCTGTATCACACAGAGTTACCCAAGTGCTTCAAAAAGAAAGGCCAAAGGAAAGCTCTGCGTTCATTTACTCTGCAGACCATTACTGGCAGCTCCTTTTCCAGTCTGTCCTCTGGCCTGCAGGAGGTGCTCCAAAGGAGACAGTGGAAGCGAGGATATCGGCTCTTACCGCTATGCCTTCCGACTCGTATTCCTCTTGTTCCGACTTTAACGTGAGCTCTATGAAGAGCTGCTGCAATTTTTCGTTACAATAATTAATACAAAATTGCTCAAAGCTGCAAACAAAAATCAGAAAAATAATCACTAACACTGTACCGCAAATAAAAGAAGCTACAATCAGTGGGCAGCAGCATGGGTGTATCTCTGTGTCAATCAAGAGAAACAGAAGAGATTCAGTGAAATGTTTCTTTACTGAGCGTATCAATTTAGTAAGTTTAGTGAATCGCATGAAAGAGTTCCAGAAGGAGGGAAAAACAGACATGAAGGGTGGAACACAAAAACTTTTAAGAAGGGCCCAATAACACTGCAAATTTGAGAGTCTCAGTTCATTGCTACCTGCCAGAGCCAGGTTCCCGACCCTGACGTGGTCCCAGACAATGCCTTATAGCTGGTTTTTTCCCGTTCACGTCACCACAGAAAGATGCCACAACAGCCAGCACTGTGCCAGAGAGCTGGGCAAAGGCAGAGTTCAAGCTATCGCATGAATACACCCCAAAAAGGCAACAGTCTCTTTGAAATACCAGGAACATTAACAGCTGTAAATGCCAAGTATCAGCTGGACGCCCCAAGCGTTCCAAGCCCTGTGATTATCAGTTATTCAGCTGATTTCCTGAAGTTTAAACGTCATCTTCTCTTTCTCTCTTACTAAGAGAGCCAGAGATGGAATAATGTCTTATTTCACAACGGAGAGAAAACACTCTAACGAATGAAGTCATGCAGAGTTTACTCAAAACTCAAAGACACCGACTGAAACAAACCTGTTGTGCTGAAAAACCTCAAATCCATAGATATCAAGCAATCCTAGAACCGTTGTACTTCTCCAGCCCGGAAACTCTCCTTCCTGCAATAGGGCAAAAAATAAATGTTGGTATGTGCTCACAGCTACAGTCTCTCACTGGATCTTACCCAGTTACAGCATTTACTCCTTACCCTCTTCTTAATGGAAAACAAATTCATTTAGAAATCACTGTACAGCACGAAGCTTACCATTTCTCTGCTTTGCAGCTAAAAGATTTGAAACTTCCTTTCATGCCTGGTTGGACATCAACGAATGACAGGGTCATTTACCTTGTAAGCAAGAGACTTGTTAACCTTGTTCACCAGCCAGGAGAAAGTGCGTCCGTATATTGCCTTAGCAAGCGCGTCCCTCGCGTAGGCTGCCTGCTCCAGGTTCAGAGGACTGATGAGCTGCATGAAAAGGAGAAAAAAGCCATTCAACAGCCACTGCACTGAGAGATTACATTTCCCTCGTTCACTGTTAATAAAGAGCCACTTAAGGGCATCCTGTCTGGGCCCCGCTCACGTCGCTGTCTCACAGCCGTACAGGCTGCAAGTCACCGTAAGGCTATGGGACTCTTGGTGCTGGCAGCCTCCTTTGACAAGTGGGAAGCGAACTGTTTCATGCTGGTAAGAGAGCTGACAGTGTATCGCTAGCTTGATTTAATTCCATGCGCCTCCCAGATCCCCAGTTCATGTTCTTACCTCTTCCCCTTTTGCTATGATCTTCTTGTGGATCAATGCATCTCGAAGAACAGAGCCCTCAACTGCCAGAAGCTGCAAAGCAGTAGAGTATTAAATTAATTGATGAAGCAGTATGTTCGATTTATCAGTTCTAGCTTTAAGAGATCAAAAGCCTAGTCCCCAAAATCACAGTCCAGTGGAAGGACGACCCTTCGTTTCCCGTTCACGCTGCAAGACGTTTTGCAACGGCAGTCCTTCCCTTTCCTCCCGCACACCCCCTCCCTCCTGCCAGGGATATGACCTAACAAACGAACTGCCTTGATTGTTCTGGCACAAGGAACGGGCTTAGCGAGGCCACCAGGGTTCTTCTTTCTTTAAAACTCTTCTCCAGAGTAGCTCTATTCCCATCCCACTGCCTGAAGGCGAAAACCTCAAGTCAGTGGTGCATCAAATGGTAAATAGAGAAGTTGTCAGTTAAAGGGTTAATATCTGCACTTTATTTAAGTCAACTAAAAGTAGACTATGACAACTTCTAAACCATATTCTAAAATGATATGATGGGACCAAGTTCAAAATAAGGAAACCTCTCTAATTCATCTTTAATGTAATATATCTCTAACTGGTGACACTCACCCTAGCCAGGTATTTAATCTGGTTCTCTGTAGTGACCTGAGCATTGCCTTGCTCATCAGCAGCAAACTGCACGTTCCCCAGATGCAGAACACTAGCCACAATGCTCAGCAAATCCTAGGATGGAAGCAACAGGCAAAAACCGGGATGATGAAATGAATGCACAATGAGAAAAGGCCGTGAGATTTTTGTGTTCATTAACATTTTATGAGAACGTTTTGTATTTTTTTTCCAGGATTTTTTCAGAGAACACATTCATTCTGAAAGCTGCCTTTGGTCAGAAATAACAAATCAAAGCTGAAAAAGTCCTTAAGAGTAGGGAAATCAGCTGTGCTGTTAAACGTGTCTTACCTCCACCTCGCTGTCGTTGAAGCTTATAATGGACAGGGCTCTTCGCACAATCTTCCAATCGTTTTTATCATTTATGGAACTCACCCTTGCACAGTGACCCTAAAAAGACACAGTTTGATAGAAATAAGAAATAATTGTCAAAGATAGATTACTCATGCTCAATGCGCTTCTGCTACGTGTTTCTTTTCATAGCAGTCACCTCAGGGATATTTCTGAAGTGAGGGAAGGAAACTACAAAGTCCACTGAGAATATATCGGTCCTATAATGTAACGATATTGTAAGAATTACTACTTAACGCACACCTTTACTAAATAGTGATACTGTTGCGGGCTCTTTTCGAGGCCCAGCCTTCGCAGTAAGTCCTCTTCCCCTCCTTCTAGCAGCTGGTAGAAAATGTGGAAGTTCCTCTCCCCGTGATTCTGGTGCACAACTCGGGATTTCTCCAGGAGGTAGTTCAGGATGTGGCCCCCAACAGGAGCCCCCTAAACCAAACCAGATACATGGAAATAGTTGGTCAGCACAGAGGAAAACATTTCTGTTTCTTGGTGGTCTGTTCAAAGGCAAATAGGATACCAAATGACAGCCTACAAAAAGACAGAAAATTATCTGTCATTTTGTACCACGATCTCTATTTCAGCTAAACCATAGGGGCAATCTGAGTTTTGAAGTGTATGCAAAACGAGATATCAAATGAAATAACATGCCATTATACAGATCGTGGCTACAGCACCTACGGAATGGGATCCTGACTTGTGTAAAACTCCTTCTCAGGAGGAAAACAAGGAAAAGCATAAAACTGTGAGTGTGGAGGGATTACGTACTGAGCCCTTTAAGCGACTGCGGTATGCTGAGCTACTCAGCTCTTGCACTACGCTCATCCTCACAGTGTGCGGCAACTTGGATCAGAAGCGAAACAAACACTATGCAAAGTTGCACAGGACAGAGTGATCACAGCTGGCTTATGTGGATTTAGTTTGGAAGTGTCCATTTGCACAGTGCACATATAGCCCAGAAATAAGAGGATTTAATCTCACTGTCTCCTTATATACAGAAATGAGGGAAGAAAGAAAGGAAAATGTGTACTATAAAATCCTCCGGAACCTCACTTTGCTACCACCGACTCCGCTTACACCGTCGACAAGGGAATGCACAACGATCGCTCCACGCACGCATCAGTACAAGAAAGCACAGGCGACAGAGACCGGCCAGGACTGGGACCAGTTCGGAAGTTTAAAACAGATTTTAAATTACCCTGTAATCAAACTGCACATCCATGTACTTCCCAAATCGGCTGGAGTTGTCATTCCGAAGGGTTTTTGCATTTCCAAAGGCCTGAAATGAAAACGATTAGAGAAAAATAAATAAGCGTCAAATAAGATTATTTATAAACACTTTGGTGAAGCTGCCAGTTGTTTATTTGCAGCCATCAAAGCCTCGGTTTTTCCTTTCAGCGAGGGAAACCAAGAAGGAAACAGATTGCTACCCAAATTCTAATGTTGATCTTTATACCCAGCGCAAGCATCGCAGATGGAGCATGCCTCTGAAAACACTTCCACCCCCACCCAGCAAGCTTATTTTAATGCCAGTTCACTGCTGACAGCATATGTCACGTCTGACAGTCTTTTCAAAGCTTCCTCTTCCATCACAGCTACCCGCAGCTCCGCTCGCAGCGGGCACTACCCGACGGGCCGCGGCCTGCCAGGCTTTCCCCTCTCTCGGGGAGCAGACCTTTCCCCGCACGCAGCACACGCTGGAGCACAGAGCGGAACTGTCCGAGGGAACCACAGACAGCTCAGGGCTGGACACTAGAGGACACCACAGCACCAGACAATGCACCCACAAATGCATTTATCAGAGGGCAACGCTGCCCACAGCAGAGGCGTCTGCTTCTGGCTTTGCAAACTTACGCAGCGCACCAGAACTCTTCCCACACCAAATGCCTCTCTCTCCCCGCAGCCTGCCCGCTCCAGAATTGCTCCTGGTGGACTGGACATTTGAGGACATGGTTTAGTGGTGGACTTGGCAGTGATAGGTTAACAGTTGGGCTCGATGATCTTAAAGGTCTTTTCCAACCTTAACGATTCTACGGTTCTATGATTCTATGAAAGGGCCAAGCGGCTTCAGCAGCAGATGGCCATTCCTTTGGCTTGGAAGCAGACAGGGATTCCCCTGTGTGCAGTGCACACGATCTGCCCACGTGCGGTGAACCAGCGTTCCCAGGACATGCTATCCGCTCTGCGCAGCTCGGTCATGCCCAGTGCGGTCCAGCTGCCCCCACCCCCTCAGCTGGAAAATGTGAGTGCTGCTGGTATTGCTCAACGTCAAGCTTCCGTGCCGCAGGCTCGAGGGTTACCTCCAGGACGGGGTTGGATTGTAGCAGGCGGTCCTTCACAGTTTCAACCTGCTGGCTGGCCGGACAGGTCACGGCGTAGTACTGCAGGATCTTCTTGGTGGCCTCCGTTTTGCCAGCCCCGCTCTCCCCAGAGATCAGAATACACTGATCCTTCCTCTCCGTGCGCAGGGAGCGATAGGAATTGTCCGCAATAGCGTAGCTAAGGGACAACGATAAGCAGGCATTAGTTTGTTTCCACAAGCGAAGGGCGCAGACTCCTCGGCTAAGACCATCCCACAGTGCGAACTCCTAGCGGAGACGCCTCAAAAAGAAGTACGTGTCCGTGGGCCGGGTAAGAGCGTATTGCTTCTGCACGCTGCTGACGACACAGGAGATCACTAACATCTCTAAACACAGCCACTGAGCCAAGTTTCTGCAAGGTGATAGCACAAATTATCAAATTCCTTTAAAAACTGCTCTTTTGACTCTCTCTGACAAGAAGAGTTTCTGTACAAGATGACTAAATGGTGCTGATAAAGTTACTTTTCTAAATATACGTGATCTCTCAACATTGGTCCCACAGGACAAAAAAGCTTTGCATGCAGGAAACGTCTCGTTTTCCGTCAATCTTTACTCTAGCTTATCTTTTAAGTGATGACACACTCAGAAGGTCACAACTGCACTTTGCTATCTGGGTGGCTCCTATAATGTGGCTCCAGAATAGCCCAACCTCTCGCAGCTTCTCTTGGATTGTGGAAAGCATGGGATAAGCCAGCACCGGCTGATAAGCGTCCTGCAGGCTACTTAAGCTGCCATCCAGCTGAGGCCCAACGCTACCCGAAATACCAGACCGTTCCTCCTGCCTGCATGCGGCCAGGGTTCATTGCTCTGGCTCTGGACCCCAGCTTCTTCCTTTGCTGCTTTTCTTCCTCTGCTCTTTTCCTCCCCAGACAGACCAGACAGGATCGTACACCAAGAATCACACGCACTTTTACAACACCAGAGAGCGGGAGGATGAGTCTGCCAACGGTGGCGACTGCTGACAGAGGGAGAGAGGGAAAGAAGGACCAGGCAGATGCAATGGAAGAGGATAAGAGAAAAGAGGAGCATTAGCCCGTCACAACGCACTCATAGAAGACGACCTCCGTAACAACATTTTCAGCTGTCTTACATGTGGTGATCAAGCAGATATCCTGTCTTCATACACTTGACAACCTTTTAGTAGCTTTGCTCCCCCCCCCCCAACTCTCATGCTGTGAAATTAATTAGAAATAATCACACCAAAATAACAGCCGTGGCCTTCTCCAGTCTATTAATACTTGGTGCTAAGGCAACACCAACGAGCTACCTAGCAACACAACTGCACGCTTACCCCACTAAGTCATCAAGCCCTTCTCTTCCCATCCAAATTCTGTCTCTGGAGTATTTTGAAAACAGTTGAATAAATGTAAATTTAATTTAAATTTTAAGAACTGCCTCTAGGCTGCATGCCTTTATTGGGTGATTTTGCAGTACTCTACATTCAAGCAGAAAGCTAGCAGTCATGCATATCACGTACGGAATCACTTCAAGATGGTCATGGTCCCATTTGCAGTCGCCGTCCCCGAGCCCCCGGCAGGGTACAAATGGGGCAGGATGCGACAGATCGCTCGGGGAAGTACGCCGTGTCTCAGGCCCATGCGGATAACCTTTCTCCTTTGAATGACTACGTGTGACGCACTTCCCAGAGAACCCACTGATCAGACCTAGCCTTAAACTAATTTTGACACTGGAATAGCAATATTGAAGTATTTTGGCTTTCTAAAATCAGTTTAGAATAAGAGAAAGAGGAAAAAAAGACATCTGAAATACTGTAAAAAGAAAAGCACGGAGTGCTACAGTACAGAGCATTTCAGTGCTCCTCAGAGCATTTAAAAATGCATAAATAATCAAATAATGTAATGTTTTGCAATGGAACGATAAAAACAGTTAACAAAAAAAATACCGTTCTCCCAGTTGGAGCAGCACTGGTATTCAGTATTGCAGCTCTCAAGGGTTTACTTATGAGCTGCACGTTTTACAGTTTCTAGTTAAAACAAGAAAGAGAACAGCCTAAGTAATAATCAGCTACTCTATGATTTAAGTCACTTTGTGTAGTACGTACAGGCATTAGAGCTGCTTAGCACGCCATGTTAGACCTGAGCATCGCCATCACGCTCACTCCTGTACCTACTGCACACAAATAAAAAGGCAGCTGCATTCCCAGCGACTTTCCAGGGAGTCACAACGTCCTCACCCAAGGAACAGAGAAGCCCTTGAGAGCGCCCTGACCGCAGGCAGAAGCGGCTGCACCCAGGCCAGGTCTCTGCCTGGAAGGCAGGGCTGAAGGCAACCCATGCGGCAACAACAACCTGCAAGGCAGAGCGGAGAGCGGAGCCGCGGCCGGGGGATGCTGGCCAGCCTGCGGCCGGCGCGGCTCCCTCCGGCCCTCTCAGCTGCTCCACCAGGAACCGCCTGATGCCGATTTAAGCCACTGCCAGGCACCTCCTTGGGGCAGATCTGTTCCTTGGGGCACCTGCACGCAGACCCGATGCACTGACCCACCTAGATCAAGGGGAGCGCTTCGCAGGTTGGCACGCGGGGTTTTTCAGGTTTAATCGTCCCCATATAAGTCCACACAAGAAGCTGAAACACTATAAAAATCACATTTTTATCATAACAAATACAACTTCAAGTGTTCAGACTTTCCCAAATAATGGTGCTTCTCTCCTTCTCTGTGCTTGTAGCGCATTCTGTTTTGCTTACTCTCCTGGGCTATGTGCCAGTAATAAGAAACAATCCAAATAGTTTGCTCAAAAATAATATCACTTACTCTTCCAAGACCTCTTAAAAAAAAAACTAAAAAAAAAAAAAATCACCACAAAAAACCTCCAAGAGGTGCTCCAGAATTTGGCTCTTGGCCCCAAAAGAAAGCATTTTGGAGCCAAATGTCCTCAGCTCTCAGTCATCTTCCTCTTTCAGTCTGACAAAAAAATTCAAATGCTTTCAAAAATAACTTTAAACCTCAAACTTTTTTTTTTTTTTAATGGGAAATTGGGAATGCTCACCAGGCCAGACCATATAAATAAATACGCTCCTTGTTCCAACAGGCTGACGTCTCTTAGCAACAAGGGAAATACCAGATAAATATTGGTCGGCAGCAGCAGCAGAGGTAGGAAAGCAACCACCCCACGGACAGACGCACT